AAACAAAAAAATCCTATATTTCCGTCACGTATTTTATCTGTTTGATTATTATCAGGCAATTTACGAGAATTTGGTAGTACTGCCCCTTAATATGTAACAGCATCTTAATGATAATTTGACGGGTGTCAGATTGCAAGCAGGAGAAGAAACGTTTAAGATTTTTATTATGCGAACACATATTTTCTTTTTTCCATATTTTTTTTATTTACCTTCGAGTCCTTTCTCGCGCTTCCTGTGAATCAGCCTTTGAGACAGGCGCTTTAAGAAACGCCTGTTTGTATATCCACTCCGCCTCATCTTCTAATTCTGTACTACCCTCTTCCACCGGCGTTATTGGTACTTCACGGATCTGCATACGCTCTGGTACATCCGTTTTTCGTATCTATAACATTATTTTTTTCATAAATAATTCGTGTAATCAAAAAAACAATATAACAGAAATAATGTAATTCCAAGATTCTAAGTAATCTGCACCGAGGCAGTGTGATTGACTAAGACAGTCTTACCAAAAAGTTCATCCTGAAATAAAGATTTGAAGGAACTTGTTCTTTAGTAATGGATACATGAGTTACCAGCACAAAAATAAATATCCAAATATAAAATTTGAGTTATTAACAAATCACCTCATTATCCAAATCAGTGAAATGACTCCTCTTCAATTCGCTCGGCTCATAAATTTCAAATATGGATTTTTTACTTGGACGTTTAGCCTTGCCTTTCTTAGTCCTTCTTCTTTCACCATCTTTAAACAGAGAAAGTATCAAATAACTGAAAATAATTCGTGATTTTCCAACTATACTAATCTATACTAGTATTATAAAGAGAAATTTGAATTTTTGTATGTTATTAATTCAAGTAAAAATTACTGGTCCAATTTCAAAAATTGTTTCACCATTATAAAGTTAAGTATTGTGTCAGTAATATAGGCTATATTTTTTTAATTTCGCGTGACGAACTGATAGTCATCTAATAAAATACCTTCATCTTCTTCATCTTCAATATATTCATCAAGATCTTCATCCTCCTCGTCTTCATAATCTTCTTCACCATATTTCTCAAATTCGTCATAGTCAAAATCAACACCAAATATATCTTGACCTTCTTGAAGGGAACTACAAAAAAATCACTAATGTTTTAAACTAACAAAAGAAACTATTAAATGAATTATTAATATGATAAATGATATAGATTTCATTGAAACAAAGTTAATCCACTTTTATTATCATCATCAACCTTCCCTTGTCCATACATAGGGTTGGCAGAGTATGTGATATTCTTCCATTCTCTATCAGCCATCATTCTATAAATTACACAATGTATTTTAATGTAACAAGTCAAAATTGCTTGAGACAAGACTTACGCATCTGTGAAGATTGGCTTCCGTTTCTTCTTACGTTCAGCGATAGGCCGACCGTCGTCGTCCACTATAAAATCATCGGCGTCTGATTCCAACTCGTCATTCTCATCATCGTATTCCACTTCACGCGGCGCCGCGGACTCGGAACGATTTTCATCCTCCTATATTGAAAAATACACATTTTATAATAGTTATAGAATTTATTTAGTGGGTATAATCCAATATAGCATTACAAAACAGCCCCAAAAAATCTATGGAAACTTATACATGTGTATGTATGTAAAAGATATATGCAAGGTAAGCCTAAACCACACCAAGTGGAAATTCGAAGTACCTGCCTAGCCCTCTGGGTTACAGGTTGTGTGTTTTATACAGACTAGCTTTTGCCAGCGATTCCATCAGTGTGGAATTAAAAAAAACAGAAATGAGTAGCCTATTTGTTCTTTTAGACTATATAGTCTATGCCAAATTTCATTAAGATCCATTTAGCTGATTAGGCTACAAACTATAACAAACATCTATCCAGCTAAACTTTCGCATTTCTAATACGAGTTTGTAAGATCTTATATTTGTAACTAAAATTTTTAATTTTACAGCTAGCAACAATGTTGTTACAACTACAACACTGACCTCATCAGATCCTCCAACAAAGAGCTTTTCTGCAATTACTTCTCGTTCCAAATCTGGATCATCTGCACCCTCATTATCACTGTCATCATCCTCTAAGCGTCGCAAACGCTTAAACTTATTCTGCAACAATATATTACTAAGTTTTATACACTTAGAAAACATAAATACCTTATTCTAGTAGTTTACTTAATTTGTACCTTAGTGGGAAATCTACACAACGGGATTACTTAAGCAACTCACACTTAAAAAAATTGAAAAATTACATAATTAAAATGCTAGCCTTATTAAAAAAACCCTCTACAGACTGCAGAAAAATATAAAACTAATTTATTTGCACAAATTAGAGAGTAATGTTTTAAATTATCAGAAGTAAAGCACTGTCAAGCCTGAATAGGCTATATTTTCTACAACATTGATACTTATATCTTACATTAATTGTTTCTCCGTTATCATATTAAAAGCAACTTACTCTTGCAACTTTAACTCCAAGATTCTCCTCAATAAGGTCATAATCTTCATCTTCCAATCTGTCATCCAACTCATCATCACTTTTTTTTCTCTTCTTTGGTCCGACACTAGCGTCCGAGTCCTCTCCATCACTATCCTCTTCAATTGGGGCATCGTCAATCAAATCTTTTAACTCCTCCCGAAGACGCTCCTCATCATCTTGAAAATAAAAATACTTATCATAAAAATACCTTAATCTACTTTACTCTACAGATCCATTTTGACATCTTTAGATATAATTATAATTAAAATGTATTTAATCATAGTTAAATTTAGAGAATTCATAAAATGCCACGACACAAATCAATACAAGTTTTATATATAAATTATAGTATAGTACATGAGATTTACTTTAGAACCTAATAACCTAAAAATGAAGTTGATGTAATTTGACTAACTTAACGAATATCCATGTAAAGGTTATTTAGCCGACACTATAGAGATAACTCCTAACAAAGAGGTCACAAAAGAAAGGCATATAAAACGCTACATTAATTAGCACAAACCTTCTTCTTCTTCGTCCTCGTCATCGCTTTGAACAGCAGCTTTACGTTTCGGCTTTTTACGTTCTGTGGGCTGCTCATCTTCTTCAGAATCCAACTATGCAAGCACAAAGTATTTTTAAGTCTTAATACCAATTTATTCGTTAAAATAAACAAGAGAAAACTTACCTTTTTGTTATGCTACTTTGTAATATTACTAACCTCGCTCTCCTCTGCTTCCGATTCCAAGAAGTCTGCCATTTTTAACTTTTATGAAACTATTTAACGTTCTTGACTAAAATAATTCACAAAAACTATAACTTACACAAATTAAAACCTAAACCAAAATAATAATTACGAAAAGAAATCAGTAGACATATCGTATTTTTCTCTATTCTCTATGCCTGTCCGCAAAAACCGAAATCTGCATCAGTGCTGCACGATTGGTTTGACTCGTATTCAAAAATCGATATTTTTCATATTTTCAAAATCATTCTGAAATTACATTTCATTGAAAGAAATTAGGGTAACAATCTTTTTACGAAAAGATAAGATCATTATTGATTCAGCAGAATCTTGAGTTTACTCATCACAAAGATTTTGAAAACTTTATATATTTTTTGATTTTGACTTTGAAAACTTTATATTCAATTTTAAGATAGAGCTGTTTTTGCCTAAATCCCTATTTTATTCATTAACTTTCTTATCGTGCTTTTCATTAATTCTTATCACTTATTTTCTGTATGTATCTCGAATGTCTTGAACAAATCGAATAAGACTGGGACATACTGGGGCATAGATAACGTGTTAGATCTGTGAAATGGGAACTTGACATTTTGACAGCTTGACATCAATACGTCAAAGTCAAGTCAAATAATCGAATCATCGATTATTGTTATCTTATCAACAATTTTTTGTATTACAGATTTGAAACACCAGAAAAGCAATGATTTGTCTTACATTTTGAAGTGAAAATTAAATTTGGTTTAAGATGAGTTCGCAAAACCCAATAATTAAGAATGTCGTGCATGCTGGGCAAAAGTATATTTCTATCGCTGACGGCAGTAAGGTAATTTTATTAAATTGTCTCCATAATTATTCTATTCAATTAGAAACTATTTTTACTTCTATTTTAGGCGCATTTTCATTTTCAAACTTGGAAATTAGGTAAAGAAAGGATATTGATTGACGATAGTAAGAAGATTGGCCAAAAGGAACCTATGGTTTTAGTCATAGGCCATAAGTTCAAACTAGAAGTATGGGAAACAATAGTAAAATTAATGGCTGTTGGTGAAGTTGCTAGTTTTCGTGTTAAGAAGGAGGTAAACATTTAAACATTTTAAAATTTTCATGTTTTTTTTCTATTTTGACAACACATAATGTCTGTCAGTCTTTGATTGCTTTATCTAAGCATGATTTTGCACTAGTTTCATTCATAACATGTTAAATATTGTCTAGTAACAAATCTAAATTGATTCAATATGGTGTTATAAATATATAATACCACTTCTCCATAGCTAGTGTACAGCTACCCATTTGTATCAAAAACATTGCGGGACCTGGGCCAGGAACAGCAACAAATAAAACATACATGCACAATGACATTGCACACAGAAGGCATTGGATATTCAGACCTCGATGATTTGATAAGGAATCCTTGTGATTTGGAATTTATCATAGGTGACTCGCTTTAATGTTTTTAATAATATATTTGCAGATATGTTCCATTCATGTAGTCTGTAGTTTAAATTTACTTACAGTATATGTACCATACTTTGAGTAAATATGCATTTGTTGTATTATTTGTAGACTGGCAGTTTGTACCAAGATTTGTAGGGCAAACTATTTATGAGAAAGAAATGTGTCTTATGTTTTAGAGTTACTTAAAGTTGAAAGATCAGATGAATATGAAAAAGAAGTATGGCAACTTGACATAAAAGAAAGGTTAGAATTAATACCTACATTAAAAGAGAAAGGCAATAAGCTATATGGGGAAAAGAAATTTGCTGAAGCAGAAGATGCATATAGTCAAGCGATAGCAATCTGTGAACAACTTATGTTAAGGTATGTTATATGTTGTCTTTTTAACCATATTTGGTAATGAGTGTTTCAGCCTCGACTTGCCTGTCAAGTCGTCTATCATAAAAAATATTATAATGGTGTCAATAATAAAATGTTTTTGTTTAATTGTTACAGGGAGAGAAAGACTGACGATGAATGGATAACATTAAATAAAATAAAACTGCCAATTCTACTTAATTATGCTCAGGTTAAACTAGTCCAAGAAGATTTTTATGCTGTTATTGAACATTGTAATACTATTTTAGAATATGATAAAGGTGAGGAATCTAATTCTTATTATTTTCCTGTTTATAATGTTACTAACAAATTCAACAAAACTTTAAAAATTGATTTACTTAATAGCCTGACCAAGTAATTGTTTTATTTTATTACAGATAACGAAAAAGCTTTATACAGACGTGCCAAAGCTCATGTTGGAGCATGGAATCCAAATCTAGCTGAGGAAGATTTTAAACGCTTAAAAGCTATCAACCCTACTATTGGTACAATTGTGGACAAAGAATTAGAATTTGTAAAGAAATTACGGAAAGAAAAAGCAGAATTGGATAAAGATGCATTAAAAAATTTATTTTTAAAAGAGAATGAAGGAATATAACATTTAATATCCATTAGTTTATATTTAGGTTCAAAAACTGATGAACTGTACATACTTCTATATGTAATATATAAACACTCTTATATTCCAAATATCCAAACACACCATTCTTAAAAATGGATTTAGTTTTAAAGAAAGAACTTCCTCAGAAATGATAGGTTGTGATTCAATCACTCTCATCCCATTCATTCCTTCATTCATAGAGATGGTGGTTATGAAAATTGTACTTATTTATCGTTAATTAGTGATTACTGCGAAATTATAAATTCATATTCATTTTGGTGTCAGGCGAAAAATTTGTTTACTATTTCAAGTGCTATTAACAGTAAAACACTTACTAATATTAACCACAAGAAATATGAAGATTGTAGGCGAACTAAACTTCCTTCCAGAATTATAATTTTATGTTAAGAGTTGTTTTATGTGGAAATTGTTTCGTTTACCTTGTTTTATTGTAATAAATAAATGGCTACTAACTCAAGATTGTTGTTTTAATCTAATTAGAAATGGACCAAATGTTTTATACACAAATACCACTAAATTATTAGACTCTAACTAGACCACTAAATTAATTTCATGTAGACTTTTATATTCAATTGATAGAATTGTTATCATTTGACTATTTGGTAACTTGTACCAATATAATCAATACATAACTTTCAAAACTCGATACATCAAGTATTATAAACATCGATTTTTTAGCGTTAAATCTAGCAACTCTATTATCTGTAATCTGTGAATATGACAATATTGTCATGACACATGACATAACATAACCTAAAAAAAGTTTCCACTATAACCTTAAATATTGTTTGTTTTCATGTCAGAAGTAAGTGTTTAACTTTGTTTTTATAATTATGACTGAGACTAATGATACGAAACATGAAATCGAAACTGAATCAACAGAAAACACAGCTCTCAAGGAGGAATATGCTTACTTAGATCGAGGTGGTTTTTCTTCAGAGAAATTTAAGATTGAACTTCGGGGACTTCCAAAGTTTTATGGCATAGCAGTAAGTTAGTCTAAGTTTGTTTAAAAGATATATGTATAGATATATTATTGATCTGAAATTTTTAACTTAAACCTAATATTCATAAATGAAATACAAATATTTTAGATTTACTAAAAAACCTTGGTTTCAGGAATTAAAGAAATTAATGAATCAAAAACTAGGCTTGAACACAAGTAAAATTAAACGTCCTAAAAATGGAAGTCATTGGCTATTTGCATGTTTCCAAAATGAAGAGGAAAGGTTAAAAGCTATAACAGCACTTAATGGATTTTCATGGAAAGGTTGAGTTAACTTTAAACATTAGCAAGATTCTTTTGCTTTTAAAATAGTAATATGCTGCTTTATGTAAATAAATATGTGAATAATTAGTTTGTATGTAGGTAAAAAACTCATAGCTGAAGTTGCAAAGCCTGCTCCGGATCCTCTAGTCAGAAAGAGGAAGTTGGAGGAAGAGGGAACTGGTTCTGATAAGAAGGGAGTTGAAGATAATAAGAGTCAGGAAGAGAGATTGAAAGATGCTACTATACCTTATTGGAATATACCATATGAAGAACAGGTATTTTTTTGACATTTGTCACTAAAAGACAGAAAGATAGCAATTGTTTCTTAATTAAGCTTGTTTTTGTTAATTTTTTTACCTTCCTCATATGAGATTTTTGTTTCTATTCTTTTCAGTTAAAACTCAAAGAGAAGGAAATAAGAAATATTCTTATGAAATATGATAATGAAATATGGAAAATCAATAAAGAAAGACGGGATGAAATAGAAGCCAAACGTAAACTGCACAATGGATTAAGTTTTGATTTGAAACCTATAGTACCATCACCGGTGACAGAGGGGTATCGGAATAAATGTGAATTCACTGTTGGCATTGATGATGAAACTAAGAAGCCTACAGTTGGTTTCAGACTGGGCAGTTACGTCACAGGCACCGTTGGCGTTGCCCCGATACAATCGTTAAATCATATTTCAGAGCAGACAAAGAAAGCTGTCTTGGTTAGTTTAAAAACTTCGCTTTTATTCATTGATTAAATATTATTATAGTATACTTGCTGTATTACTTATTAAAGACATTTAATATTGTAGTTTTAATGGGCACAGTATCAAGTACAGACTCTACAAGTCAAACTGTATTATTAATTGTTAGTGTGTAGGCAAAAAATTGAACTTTTAATTAAATTGTACAGTGTCCAGTTTCGCCTACATACATTGGGCTTTAACTGTATTGTTTGACTGTCCAATTAAAACTGTAGATCTGTACCTGACTTAATACTGACTCTCTAAGTTATTTTACAGATATTCCAAGAGTTTGTGAGGAGGTCGAATTTGGCGCCATTTTCACCCGCCGACTACTCCGGGTATTGGAGATATCTGACAGTGAGGCATTCCAAGTTCAATGGAGATATAATGCTGATCATTGCTCTGCACCCACAGGTTAATAATGTTATAACAATATTTATTATTACCAGTATTACATTGTAATGCCATAGCCTAACTATAAAATGTAGTTAGTTTAAGCACATTGCACAATATACACACAGACTCACCTCACAGCGAAAACACACATACCACACAAATGGACCACATTCCATACCAAATAGCGGAATGTCGTCCAAAAAAGGATCAGTGATACACTCCACACCTTTTCTGATCAAATTAGGATATATAAAAAAAAAACTGTAAAATGTAGGAAAGTGTTTTTTTTTTTTTCTTAACTTTTTTTATGATATTAACACTGACCATTACATTTCAGAATTTAACAACAGATGAATTGGAGAAACTGAAAACAGATTTAAAAGAACATTTTAGTTCTGAAGAATCTACAGCATGTGGGATAAAGTCTATATGTTACGAATTAATTATTAAAAAGTATGTCGAACTTAAATTATATTTTATAACCTAAAATGTTTTAAAAACACTATTTACTTTTAAAATCATACAATCAATTAAACATTAAAAATAGTATTGACAGAATATTTATGTGTTAGAAATTAGCATTTTTACTATTACATAATATTTTAGTGGTAGTGCCCGCTTTAACATCTTAGCACTGCAGGGCCGGCACGCCCCCAGTAATACCACGACCACACAGAAGACAGGCGTGAAATGGAAGCAATTCCGTGTTTTGTCTGATGAGTGTGGTGCCGGAGGCCTAATTTAAGTCACTTTCTCCTTACCACCCTTTTCTTATAAGGAGAGGATGGGTAGGGGAAGTGGATGTGACGGTGGAGGAGATACATAGGGAGGGGAAATATCCTCTTTATGTGCGTCTCCTCCTCCGTCGTATAAAGTTAGGCAACGCATTTGCAATTGTGGATGTCTATGGGCAGCGGTTGCTTCGCGATTTTGGCGGATTCAGGTGGTCGCTTGCTCGTTTGCCACCTTTTGTTATAAAAAAAAATGTTTTTTAATTTTTTTCAGACGTGTTGGTGAAGACGGTCCTAAGCCAATACATCTGATGGGTTCAACTCACATCATTGATGTTATCTTAGGAAGGCAATTCAGGATATCACCTGAAGCATTCTTTCAGGTTTCTTTTTTAATACTTTAAAATACTATGAATCAGCTTTTAAAGATAGTAATTATATAATGTATTTTAGGTAAATACAGCGGGTGCAGAAATATTGTATCAAAATGCGATAGATTTAAGTCAAACGACAAATGATTCTACTGTAATTGATATATGCTGTGGCACTGGAACCATTGGCTTGTGCTTTGCAAAGGTAAATACATCACTAAATACTATTTACAACAGACAAAACTACAAATTTTTATTTCACTGCTTTAGTAACATACAAAACTAGTATTTTTTCTTTTATTAGCATAGCTTAGTTGACTTAGGACCCTCTTTTTGTAGATTTGTATCAGATAAGTACACTACAGTTTAAGTAACAATTTATATTGTATTTTTTCCATATCTATAAATATATTTTATTTCTGATGTCTGTATGTTGACTTACAACTGCGGTCGCGTACTAGGAGTGTGCGAGTCCATTGTATTGGAAAATGTATTTTTTTCCTTCTTACTAATCTTACTTTTTACGCAATATTATAAATGCAAAATTTAAGATGGATGGACGTTTGTAAGAGTTTGTAACCTAATCGGCTGACTGGATCTCGATGAAATTTGGCATAGACATAGAGGATAGTCTGGAAGAACATATAAAGTACGCTTTTGTTTTTTTTTTAATTCCGCGCCGACGGAGTCGCGGGCAAAAGCTAGTCAATAAATACATTTTCTTATGTCTGTATGTTGTCTTACTGCGGTCGCGTATTGGGTGTGGAGATAGTATCAGAGTCTGTGCGAGACTATTGTTTTGTAATATGCTTTTTTTTTATATCAATAAATAAGCTTTCTTTGTGTTGTCTTAGCATTGCGGCCGCGTGCTTGGCGTGGAGTTAGTAGCAGAGGCGGTTCGCGACGCGCGCGCTAACGCGGAGCTGAACGCGGCGGATAACTGCGAGTTCTTCTGCGGACGCGCCGAGGATGCGCTGCCTTCGGTGATGGCGCGCGCAGGAGGAGAACAGCTTGTCGCGTTACTTGACCCGCCGCGCGCTGGACTGCGTATGTACAAACTTAACACTAAAATAATATTACAGACAGTTCCTCTGGTTTTGCGGTTGTCTATGGGCGTCGATGTACATCTCGGTGTTCTCGCTGCTCGTTTGACCCCTTCTCTTTTAAACTTACAATAAGAACACTCTTTTGATAGATATCACATTCCGATTAATTAAATCCTCACTAAATGGGGTGTATTTAATTTTGTATCTGTTTAAATTAAAAACAAATAATGTTTCCCTATAAGAATAGTCCTTTAGTGTAAAATTCAGAGCAGTGCTAAGGGACTGTTTAGGTAATTATTAATGTTTCTTGGATCGTTATGTAGATGTTATACCATTGCTGTATTATTTCTGTTAAAATCATCATTTTTTTAAATAGCATGGCATTTTTCACTTTTTAAATGAAAGTTAATCTGTGTTTTTAATATTGAGAATAGCATCTTTTTATAAGATAATTTAAACCGTTCTCAATTTCAAATGTTTACAAAATTATTGTACTTAACAGATATGCGAGCTATAACACAACTACGGAACACGAAGAAAGTGAAACGTTTGATATACATATCGTGTAGCCCGGCGTCGGCTGTTAAGAACTTCGTGGATTTAGCACGCGCGTCTTCTAAGACCCTGCGAGGCGCGCCATTCACACCGGTACGAGCTGTGCCGGTTGACATGTTCCCGAACACCAAACATGTCGAGCTGGTCGTACTCTTCGAAAGAGAAAGCGATACTACTCAAGTAAGTTCAATTAAGGAGTGAGAGAGAGGTCAGAAATACAATGAGATAGAAAGAGACGGTTACAACTGTCTTATTACAGCCATTAGGTAACAAACACTGACATGTCATAGAGTAAAAATGCTTCTAATACAGAATATAAAATTTAATGAATGGTTTAAAATTGAATTTTTAAATCTTTCACATCTGTATGGAAATATATCATTTTATTTAATTTCAGAAATCTCCCGACGAAGAAAATGTAAATATAACAATGGAGGACAATAAAGAGATAAAAAGCGAGGATCCACAGAACTCCGAAGCAGTAGTAGATGTAAATATGGTTAATAATGAAACATGACTAATATAAATTGTAATGAATCAATTGTTGGTAGACAACATTATTTTTTTACTATATAAATGATTATCTATACAATAGTAGTTTTATTAATAAATACACTGGATCAATACTAACCGATAACAAAACTAAACAATAGTGTTAACAAGACAAAAAACATATTTCTACAATTTAAGTGGCCAGGATTATCAATAAAAAAATCAATAATTAAATGTACGATGCGATACTGCTATTTAAAAAGCATTTAATTTTTAACGACCTATAAACTATTTTAACCTATTTTTTGGTATGGGGGGGAATCTTCAAAAATATACCTTTCCTTCTGGAGGGAAGACGGCTATATGAGAAACATTTTTAACCTATAAGCCAAGTAAATGTACCTAAAAATTCCACAATATCAATTAGTAGAGATATCTTCACATTTACGTTGTTTAGGCGTTGATTGCGATGTAATTAAAACGTGATTAAATGAAGCCCGAGGGTTTGCGGTGAAAGAGGTCACCCGTCGCGGGCGGGTGTTCCAGGAATTTAATATAAGAAGGGGCGACGCCGGTGCATTCTAAAGCGTACCTAACGACTCCATTCATTTTCAACCGCAAAATATTTAGCACAAATATGTATAGCATGCCCCGTGTGCTCTAGGTATGTTTATAATCCTTATAATATCTATTAGCTTTCACGACTTCTTTATAAAGGAGGCTGGCAGAATAGACTGATTTTAATTGAATTTGCAGGTTACAAATATAACGATACAAAACGAGTATTTTGGACAGATCGGTCCAATGGATTTTGTCGGTCGAAAAATCCTCCAAAACGAAAGTTTTTCTATAAAGGCACGATAAATTGATGTTCATAAATATTTCTGTATTCATTTTGCAAAGTTGATATCTTGCTATTCCTTAGAAATAAATTGAGAACGCTTGATTTTACTTTGGCAATAAAGGTAATAAAAAAATAGGTAGTTAGAATTTTCTAGATTGTTTTCAACCACTTTTTGCCGCGACTGTACTTTTTAATATTTAAATACCTTTCTACTTAACGTTCTGACTGTACCCGTCGTTCCTTACATTCCATCGCGACGTCACTTCGAGAGCGCGATATCATCCCAGACTTAAGTCGGGATAGAAGCCGATATCTCATTGTATTTCTAGACTTCGAAGTGTCCACATCCTTCCTAAGTTCTGATGAAATGTGTTGAGTAACCAACAGTCATGGGGTTTATGTGTATTTCTGTGCTATTGTTGTCGCTAATTTTCTACCAATATACGTTATCCAAAAATCCTAAAGGTGAGTTAAATTTTTGTAGCTTGATAGTTAGAATATAAAACAAAAAATGAATTGTAGGTCACCAGCAAATCGTGTTTACCGCCCGTTTATATTTTGCCCCGGCAAATTGTAAAGAGACGGTAAGATGTATTTAATATATGAACAATAGTCGACGACGATTTGCCTAGGCAAATTACAAACGGTCAGTATACAAGATATGCCGGTGACCCATACATATAACGAATACAAAATCAGGATTATAATTTATTTTTACGTTTAAATTTCAGCTTGGTACGCGGAAAGTGAGTCCGTAATAGACCCTAACGGTGCATTACTGCTGAAATGGAAAGTCGATTATTTCAATCGTAAGATAAGATTCCAATTGGTTATATCGGATAGAGCGCCGGAAGCTAACTGGATTGCCTTAGGATTCTCTGATAGAGGAGGTCTAGAAAAATCTGATGTGTGTCTAGTGTGGACCGATTACAAAGGACATGATCATTTTGAGGTATGAACGAGCGCAAGAATCTATGTAACAATGTTTGTCCAACAAATCCCTCTTTATTATGCCGTTATTTTTGATAAATTACAGTCTTTTACTTAAATACTGTTTTATATGATTTTCAAGGACATGCATGCGGATACTCACGGCAAAGTGACGCGGGATGTGCAACAGGACTGCGAAGCTTTTTACCTCGACAGCAGCGCTCGGAGTATATTCTTTGAACGATACTTCGACACTTGCGATGACGATGATTATGTGATTGAGGTGAGATTTAATTTAGTGGTTGCAATAGACATTGCTACAAAGGTTTATGGGTTCTTTAATTTTAGTTGAGATAAAACTTTAAAATATCGTTTTGACTGCTAAAATATGTCTCATAGCTTTTATTATTTTTAAAGAAAGTCAACAATATATTTTCTACAGTAGCTTTAACGACTGAAACTCTAGGCAACTTTATCACATTTTTATTTCAGGATGGAACAGTTCACGTAGTATGGGCTCGTGGTACAGATAAATTGTTCACATCGAAAGGTCTCTGTTTGTCGTGCGCAGCGGCTGAGGACCGCGGCTTCGTGCGCGTTCGGCTTCTAACTCCAGCAAACTTGCCTCAGCCTCGTGCGGAACAGCTTATTATAACTAACAAAGATTTAAACGTGCCCAGTGGCGATACCACTTATTGGTGTCAGGTTGTAAAACTACCTGACTTTGTTATTCAGACGATTCATCATATTGTGAAGGTAATGTCCATAGTTTAATGAACTAATACAAGTCCAGCTGTGGGCAAATACTGATTGAAGAAATGTGATAAGAATTGCCAGTTGAATAAATATGTATTATTTTGACCTTGGCAAAACAAAGAAAAGTGTTATAACCTTCTGTTTGGGAAGACGGTTAAAAAGTATTTCATTTGGCTAAATGGTGGTAGACGCCTTATGTTACACTTTTTACAATAATATATAACCTGTTTCCTCATGTGATGTAGAATGAAGTCTGCTTTTGAAAAAATCTGTATCAGTTCTTCATAAATGATACTGAAATAAATTTTATCAGTGCTATTACGATAGTTATTTGTTTTCAGTTCGAATCCACTATAACCAAAGGTAATGAAGGACTCGTACATCACATGGAGCTCTTCTATTGCGACGCTGAACCGAATAAGGAAATGCCTCTTTATAACGGCAACTGCTTCTCATCTGATCGACCGGAAGATACTAAATTGTGTTCGAAGGTAAACGTAATTTTATACAAATGTTTGATATATATCCCACTTCAAGCTTGTGACGTCAATGCACTTAGTTAAAACTAAAAAGGCCAGAGCAACTAAAAGTTAACTAACAAAGAGTATAGTTAGACCGGTAATTATTTTAAGATTTACTAGCATTAGTTCGTGTGTAATTTAAGGTGAGAGCAGCTTGGGCTATGGGGGCGCCCCCGTTCGCTTACCCGGAAGAAGCGGGTTTACCTATCGGTGGTTCGAAGTCTAACAAATACGTCATGCTCGAAGTGCATTACAATAATCCCGAATTGAAAGATGGTAATTATAACTACTAGATGTGTTTTTTTGTTACTTGTCCTTCATAATGAGATGAAACCTTGTCATCTCATTATGAAGAGCGGGCGCGCACTTTTACCTAAGCACAACTGTGGTGCGATTTTCGATTGTTTCGTATCCAATTCAACTTTATTCGTACAACTAAAAATCGAGTAGTGTTCACTTCCATATAAGCTCATAGCAATCAAAGCTACACTAAACAGTTATGCGATGGTTTAGTCTAAGGGGTGCGAGCGCTTTAAAAATGAAGTTTACAAAGAATGTTAGCAATATTTACGACAATTTAATTATATACTAGCTTTCGCCCGCGGCTCCGTCCGCGTGGTATTGAAAAAAACAAAAGTGAATAGCCTATGTGTTCTTCCAGACTATCCTCTACATCTATGCCAAATTTCATCGATATCCGTTCAGCCGTTTAGGCCACAAACTCTAACAAACATCCATCTATCCATCCATCCATCTAAACTTTCGCTTTAAACTAAGTAAACATCCAACTAAACTTTCATTTATAATATTAGTATGATTTTAGATTGGGTCGACAGTTCTGGTATTATATTACACGTGACATCAAACAGACGCCGTTACGACGCCGCAATTATGGAACTTGGTTTAGAGTACACGGACAAAATGGCCATACCTGGCGGACAGGAGGCCTTTCCACTCACTGGATATTGTATACCACAATGTACAGCAGTGGTAAGTAGGTATTTACTAACTCGTTAAACATTGAAAGACTAAAAATGTATTCAATGAAAATTTACTTAATTACAAATCGTTTTAACGTTTTTGGTTTAACATTTTATCGTTTTTTTGGTCAAAATGAAGTATAGCAACATTATACTATTCAAGGACTCTGGCGGTAAGAAGTCGATCATTATGTCTTTATCCCACCTATTAATGTCACCCGTATCGATCTGTCTTTCGTCATCTCTGTCGTCACTCCCTTCTCTATTATGTCCCCTTTTACACAATCCATCTAATGCTGGGCTTACCTCTGTCGGTGTGTCTCTACACTTATTAAATTCTCCTTGTCAAGCGATTCCCTCCTCATGAAATACCCATTCTATTTTCTTTTGTTTGGAAAGAAATCGTTATAAAATCTTGTATTGCAGGGTCTACCAGAGCAGGGTATCGTAGTGTTCGGCAGCCAGCTGCACACGCACCTTACAGGAGTGGCGGTGTGGACGCGCCACGCGCGTCGCGCACGCGAGCTGCCTCTGCTCAACAAGGACCTGCACTACTCTACACACTTCCAGGAGATCAGGATACTACATCGACCTGTCAAAGTTTTACCCGTACGTACTCTTTAGAAAGGAGGTTATACACCGACCATAGACAATGCGATGCAATGGGGTGTTGCCAGTTTTGTTAGACATTAGACGTTTAGGGGAAAAGTAAAAAAATATTAGAGCATTTCAATTGTCACACGACGTCCAACAACGACAAATATCCCTAAAGTAAATAATCATTAGGGTCTTTTTTATACTGAAACGCTCAAATCATCAAATCAATATGATAACGACTGTCGTCTATGGACTTTGATAACCTATATCCTATAAATTTAAATATATAAATCTATAATTTAATGTAATTTTCATGTTGGATAATTGTTTCCAGGGTGACTTCTTAGAGACGACATGCATCTACAATACAATGGAGAAATCAAACGCCACCATCGGTGGTCACGCTATCACCGACGAGATGTGCGTCAACTACCTGCACTATTACCCCGCCACGCAGCTCGAAGTCTGCAAGAGCGCCATCTCAAACTTGGCATTGGAAAATTATTTCAAATTTGAATACCGGTACAAAGACGAAGAAATAACTATAGCGTTATCTCATTCATGCACTACCTATTTGACTCTCTGTGATAGAGACAATCGTAATTATTGTTACTAATATAAATGTGTTGCGTTATATTGCAGATGGGACAACATGTCTATTTCGTACTCATCGCCGCCCCGCGCCAACTACCTGGCTATCAAGCCGTGGACGCCGCTGAGAGCCGGCGCACTGACCGCGCTTTACACAGAATCGCCGATATCAATGCAGTGTAATAAATCCGATGGCAATCGATTTCAGGTTATTACCAAATTATAAACAATTGATTTCACGCAATGATTAAATGAAAATAAGTCTGTTCAAATGATATTGACAAAAGACAGCTTTATAATAACGTCTATTAATCATGTTTTATTATTATTTTCGCTAATTCCTTAAATAAATTGTTCATTATACAATATTATTTCTTTGACAGGGGGATTGGGAAGGATTGCCGATACCGAAAATTAAAGTTCCGTTACCAGAAAAGCCACGAAACTGTGGACACTCTGCAAAACGTGCCAAAAAAGTTATGACTTACCAAGATTATATGTCTAGAAATTAGTTTTCCCTCTTATCCTATGATATAGCAAACATACTTTGACATATATACATGTAGATAACTATAAATGCTTATTAATAAAATTGTATTTAAGTTTCAAAATAAAGTTATTCCAAGATCTATGAAGTTGTTTTATTTAATTGCGCGTAGACTACTTATTATTATCACTCATATTAGAATCCCTATAACGGACAGCCAAATTCAGACTTGCTACCATACTGGCGAGCAGTGGTCCATGTCCATGTCTGCGTTGCCCATAAGTAATCGAGAAGAGTGTTTGGTCATGCTCACCTCGGCGGGTGCACTGCCGCCAAATGTGTGTCTTAGGAATTTAGTTTGCACCCCCGTAGGTGTAAGTGCCAGACACAGAAGATATACAAGTTAGGACGGTATGATTAACTTTCGTCAGTATCAGCTTAAAGTCCATTACTGAATGTAGGTTTTCCTAGCGATTACCACGATGCCTGCTTCTGTGCTGCCCGCATCTAGTATTATATTAATTACATTAAATGTTTATTTTTTCGTTCATATATATCTATTTTCTTTTATCCAAATAATAAATGGACTATCAATAAAATAGTGTTAATCTTGGAGTTGCATATGTAAACATTGATCCTCATTTATCCATAGTGAAAAATGATGAAATTTTGACATTTCGTTGTTTCTGGTTATTTCGTATTTTTCTTGATCAGATCTTCTTATCAGCTATTTTCCTCTTTCGCAATAACATTTGCTTATCAAACCATGTCTAACGATTATGGTTTTAACAGTGATGATTCTCCTAACAAAACAAATTCTCACTTACAACTTCCTAGTCCTATAATTACGCGTCGCAATCGAACTGCTTCGACGTAAGTTACTATGCAAAATACTGTGTTATAAATTATTGTTGAAAATATTTTTTATTCATTATTTTGTTTGTACATTCGTAGGTCTGAAAGAGCTCTGGGAAACCCGGTAGAAAATGGGAAAATTAAATCATTTTGCCGGGAAAGAGGTCACGGTTATGTGACTCCAGAAAAGGGCGGAGAAGATCTCTTTGTTCATATTTCTGAGTAAGTACAAAAATTATTCTTATTTTCTATAAGAAAATAAGGTTAAATTAAACAAAAGTTAACTTTTAAATCACAAGCAGTAGTGATGAAATCTTATTGTTTGGTAACATGGACCTATTCTCGGGATTTACTTGTTTCTTTTTATTTTTTAAAATTAGAACTTAACTTCTCATATGAGTAACATTTTACACATCGGACTAGTGTTTATCAAAGAAACCGAAGTGGTACAACATTGACTAAAATTTGCATTTACGGTCAGTGCTGCACAATGTCAGTTAAGACATGACATGTGTAAACATAGCCTTAATATATCTGAGATTGGAGGCTATTCTGTGACTCTTTTAGTTAGAAAGTATAATATATCATTTTAGATACCAATTTAAGTAAGAAATTTTTGTAACAGCTTTAATTATTTATTTTTAGCATTGAAGGTGAGTATGTTCCACTTCCTGGTGATGAAGTTACATACCGTCTGTGTCCGATCCCACCAAAGTTTGAGAAAAACCAAGCCGTCCATGTCCGAATTATCCACTTGACACATCAGAGGCACCTTAAGTGGGATGAACCACTGCAGATACGCTCGTAATCATGCATTTGACACAAAGAAGCACAATTTTTGTTAAACAACCCTGTCACTTGTCATCGCAGGTTTATTTATAAGCCCATAAAGGCCTAAAATGTATTTATCAGTAGTTATAAGCTCATGTTCACTATATTTTTTTTATATTTTACAAAAGGAAAGTGGTATGTAAGGTTGTATCGAATTAGAATGATCATTCAGTCCAAATACAGCATTTGGTAAAGAAGGTAGCCAACATGTGGTGCTAAATTTTGGAAGGTTTTTGAAAGATTTTGATAACTGGTATTGAAATTACAGTAATGAGATGGCTTCTTGCACAACAACCCCAATGTACAATGTTAAATAGTACATCGATTTTTAGGCCTAATATATGCAGATGTCCGTTAGAATTAGTCACTATCTGGCTATAGATTATAATTTCGCACAATTTAATGTAATAAAGATCATGATACCATTAAATGACAAACTAAATGTATTTATTGAAGAGTTATTTTCATTCCAAAGTTGAGCATTTTGACTATAATGTCAGTTCATATAAATGTATTTCATAATAATTTCATACAGAACTTTATTTGCATAATTTTAATTGATAAATGTAGCTTTTTCTGTGTTGCCATGCTTAATTGTATTTTAGACTTCACTGTGTATGGTAAATGTATTATTTTAATAAGGTAATAAATGTAAGCATTATTTTGTTGTTTATTTCTCCTCTTCTTGTATATGACTCATATCTTTTTTGTCATAATTCATACGCTTTTCTATGTAAATAAACAAAAGGTGAAATCTAAACTTCGCCCGCGACTCCATCCGCATTTTATTCTTATATTAAATTACATCGAGATCTGTTCAACTGATTAAGACTACAAACTAACAAACATCCAGCCATCTAAATTTCGCATTTACATTAGAAAAATTATAGATGTCATATCTGCATTCAGTGTATAATCGATGTTGCCACCAAAATCCATGCAGTTGTCTTTATCTATCGTAACTACAGAAACAAGCATTCCAAATTTGTCCGTAATAATAAAAATCAGATGAAAAGGTATATTTTTTATTTAAATAAAGAAATATATAGTGAAATTTACAAAAACATTCAGGGTTATAATAAAATATATACTTATTTAGAAATAATTATTTATCTATATAGTAGTTCTTAATTCATTAATATTACTGTAACAGGTCAGGTTAGTTCATTATAAAATAAGGGTTATACAAATTACACCTACTATTTAAAGAGTAAAGTAAAGCAATTATTAAATAAATAAGTTTGTTATTAATGTTAGAGAGACAGCAATTGCCGTACATCAGAGTGGTCTCAAATGTGACAAGAGTCTGCAACTATATTATCCGATAAAAACATTTTTAAGTCTTAAAAATGTCATACAATTAGTCTCGGAAAATAAATCGTACAACAAAATCAATCGATGTTAATATAAAAGTCTATTTGTAAATGGATTTTTTAAAATTACTTCACAATCTAAGTCTTTACGCTTAAAGCTATGGCTTGTATTCTATACATTTTCGTGGTAAACACTGGAGACATTAACTGGCATATTTGTATTCAAATGTCGATAATACACACTTATATAAAACTAGATCTACGCTTTGGTGCCGAATGTACATAATTTTTAAACAAAACATAGAAAATATAACCAAAAAATTTAATTTTTTATGATCATTCATGTCTCCATTTTGATGTAAAAGAAAAATAGAAAAAATAAAATCTAGTCCATAACAAAAAAATAGATAAAGTTTATTGTTTGAATTATTAAAAGTTTCTTTTTAAATTATTATTTAAATGATGTAACAAAAATGTTTAATACCCCAAAATAGTTTTACTTCGTCATAAATTGTTACAAAAATGCAATTTTCGACGGCAGTGTCCTAGAACGTGGTTTTTTCAGTTTTTAAACTATTTTCTACAATATCAATTCGTTGTATTACATTGCATAAAAATAAATGCAGAAAAATGGAATCATGAAAGTACAGTTTAGTGGACGTAGAGCATTTTTATCTTCTTTTATTTGCCTTTTTTACACGTCAATTTTGACTCATATAAAATAATTATTCTTTACCATTTGTCATGTTGCCGTTCTGAAATAGAAAAGAAAAATAATGATAATAGTCTAAACAATAAAGTAAAAAACATACATTTTTCTGAAAATACCATACAATAACGATTTGATAGAAATATAAGTCACTATGCTACTAGCAACATTAGCCTATTACTCACTAATAAGAATAGGTTATAACTTTACCTTTGCAAGCTTGAATACAAATAAGAGACAATTATTTTAATATATCTCTCTCGGGTTTACAGAACTATTAAAAATATATAAAAAATAGTTAAATTATTACCTCTTCAAGTTGTGCTAAATGGTAGTGTCGTTTCCTGAGTTCAGCGAGACGCGCGCGCTCCTTGTCCAGCGCTGTCTCTAGTTCCAAAGCACGTACTTTGCTCTCCATTTCTAAAATTCGTGTCGCCGTCAGCGTCAATGCTGACGTATCAAGTGCCTCTGTAAATAAATCGTAAAACGTTAGTTTTTAGTAAAATATCTTTCGTCTCTTTCATGTAACGAAAGGTATTTTTGGCCTTGTAATTTGTTCAAGTACTTATTGAAATATACCACAGTATTTAAATTGTTACTAACGAATACCCATAGCGTTGATTCACTTTGTACATTAAGGGTGCTTCTGTAATAAAATAGAAAACTGTACTAAATTTTATATTTTTTTTTCTTTCGTCTCTTTCATGTAACGAATTCTGACATTGAGTCCTGAATTTTAAACATCAATTTATTCAAATACATATTAAAATAAACCAGAGTTAAATTGTTATTAAGGAATTTCTACAGAGTAGACTTATTATGTACATTGAGGCTAGGTGTCAAATTATCAAGGCAATTTTCACACGATAAAGAAGGATCAAATAATCGACTGTTGGTTTTGTCAGGCGTATGTACGTGTGTGTTACTGTGTTGTATGGATCTGAATGTTGGGCAGTAAAAGGGACAGATGAAAGAAGAATACATGTGACGGAAATGCGAATGTTAAGATGGATGTGTGGGGTAACACGATTGGATAAGATACGAAATGAGTATATTAGAGGAAGTTTGAGAGTAGCCCCAGTGGTTGAGAAAATAAGGAGTAAAAGGTTAGAGTGGTATGGGCATGTTATGAGAAGGGATGAATCGCATGTAACAAGAAGGATGTTAGTTATGAATGTGGAGGGGTACATCGGTAGAGGTAGACCTAGAAAGAGGTGGATGGATTACGTGAAAGGTGACATGATCAAGAAGGGAGTGATGACTGAGATGACGGATGATAGAGTGCTTTGGAGGACGAAAACCGTATGCCGACCCTACGGGAGTAGGATAAGGCAGGGGAGATGATGATGATGTACGTGTGTGTTACCTGTGTCCCGGGCGAGGTCCGCGGCGTGTCGTGCGGCGGCGAGCACCGCGCCGGCGGCGGCGGCGACGTGTCGCGAGGCGGCGGTGAGGCGGGCGAGCGCGGGCGCGGCGGGCGGGGCGCGCGCGCGGGACGCCGCCACCAGCTGCGCCGTGCTGCCCGCCACTGAGTGCGCGGCAGCCGACACGCCCTCCACGCGACCTTTGCCGTTCACTGTCTCGTCCGCTGACGACCTGACACACCATACACGAATTTATTGCAAAATATATTTTATTGGTAAATAATGTGGACATAATGCTATTTGTTTCAACCGCCATTTTAGGCGATATTGACTAATATGCATATTCAGAATGAGCAAATTTTAAATATGAAATAAATAACGAAGTATGCAGAATTATAGTAATTTTAATCCAGAACCGGACTGAAAATCTTTCAATTGAAATTATTTTAAGGATCTGCTTTTCTATTTTTTTTTTCTAAAAACGAAAACATTAAATGGCTCTCCCGAACATTCAACCTAATGGTGCTTAAAACAAATAGCCTTTCACACATCGATCGGTGAAAAACTACCAATTTAGTTTAAATACCAACGAACATAAAAGTACCAAAGAACTGAAATAACTATTAAAAATTTGTATAATAAAATATTTTTCACTTATTAGAGGTTTTTAAAATGCGATAGTTACACGAGCAGTTTAGCGGCGAAGACGACGGCCTTGGCGGCGGAGATGAGTCCCTCGGACCACTGCGGGTTGCGGCGGTACATGTTCTGTCGCGCGCTGGTGTCGCCCAGCTCGCGCTGCAGGCGGCGCGCGTCCTGCACCAGCGCCTTCACCGCGCCCATCAGCGTCGTGCACGCGTCCAGGATTTTCTCGTTCACCTCCAGCTTCACGCCGGAGTCGCCCGCGCGGCTCGCCGCCAGCATCTCCTACGGACGAAACAAAAATACTCTCTATATAAATATAATAAAGCCAAAACACACACATCTTAGTTATGCAATCACAGTTTATTTTTGAAAAAAATAATAGAAAGTATCTTTTTTCTGTATTTATCTTCAAAAGATACCCTTATTTTTGGGGGATAATTATTAATTTACATAATATTTTTTTCAATGAAGAGTACACTACACTTACGATACGGTTTAGGATATAAATTTTCACGCTATTAAAATTAGAGGTAAAAGTAGAAAAAACCGTCGTACGGGAAAGGAACGAAAACTATAAACCAATAGCAGCAAAGAAGCAAGATTGCCATGGATATGGTAATTGTTATCCAATGTCAAACGCCTTCATTGTCATTTTTGCATCATATTTTGACATTTGCATTTAAGTTTTACTAATGCAAACTATAAAATTAAGTTCTTATAATTTTATGCGGATCAATCCGCACAGAAACAGCTAGGTTATAATAGAATAATAATAAAAATAGTGACCCATAATTTTAGTTTCATTGTTTATTATCGAATTTTAAGTCATTGACGACGATAGGTGAGTAAACGGCACTTGCGACGCGAAATGTTTAAAATTCATTTCAGTATTCGGCTTTAAATCATTAATACCTCAATTTGTTTAGCGGCATGTTCGATAGCGGTGTCCATGGTGGCGAGTTCGTCGTCGACGTTGGCGGGCGCGGGCGCGGAGTCCGCGTGCGCCGCGCTGTCCGCCGCGCGCCGCACGCCGCCCAGCGCCGCCGCGCACCGCCCCGCCTCCACACGGCCCTCGCACACTGACTCCAAGCACGTCTTCGTCGCCAACAACATCGACCGACACTCGCCACTCAACTCTGACAAAGCAAAACATTGCTAATATATAAGTCAATAAATAAAATAAACCCATTGCTATTCTTAAAGTATTTTTAAAATTGACACTAGGGAATATGCATGTTTTTTTAATGTTTTTTTAAACTATTTTTTTGTTATAAAATAACCAGAAAAAAAAATTGACGCGAAAATATCCAACCATTGAGCTAAAAATAATAATATAAAATTACGACCATTTTTGAGCGACTAAAACGCGACCGGAGTTGTCATGAGACACGTGACGTCAATCGTCATATTCCATTCATAACATACGCTTCTCAGATTGCTTCTCAGAGTAGCATAGACTATGTTTTCAAGAGGGCGAAGTCGCTAGCAACAGTTAGTCTATGATAAAACTGAAAACATTTAAGAAATATATAGACTAGACATGGGGAAAAAATTTCGCCGGTAACTTCTTTGAAAGGTACTTTATAAGTTGTCAAGTTTAATACGACACCTTATATCCTTGTATGACATGTTATAAAACATTTTACATAATTATAATAAGTTGCATCTTTTGTTATAAAATAAATTAAACAGTGTCACAAAATAAAAGAAACATTTAAATTAATTTCAATACAATTAACTATTTTTTTTGTCCAATGTGGTTTTGAGGACATCTCAATAAGTAGCGTAAGTGAATCATATGAAAAATGTCTCAAATGAAGTGTCAATTATGCTTCCTCTATATATTTTTGAATCACTTTAGATAAAACAAATATTCAGGCACTCACTGTCGGATAATTCCATGTCTGTGGATACGTTGCACACTTCCATGATGTACGCGGATAGCTGCGCCGTGTTGTGCGCCGCGTGTATAGCCGACTTTGCCAATGTTTCTTCATTCCCGCTAACCTAGAATTTCATAAAAATGTTTAGAAACTGGTACTATTCTTTTTTTAACATATCATAAGGTGGCAAACCAGGAAGCGGCCATCTAAATTCACCAAAATGGCGATGTGTTGCCCATAGGTATCCCGCAAGAGCGGATGCGTTGCCTACCCTTAATTGCCAGAGGAGAAGACGCACATAAAGAGGTCATTTCCTCTTCCTATGCGTACTGTACCGTCAAATCCACAATCCCACATTTGTTTCTTTTAAGTTAAAGGGTGGGAAGGAAAAGGGACTAGAGGTGGGCCTGGTACTATTAATTAGTGAATCTTACTTCTTTCTGTGTGGCAAGTTCGTTAAGTGCGTTAACTGCGAGTTCCGCTGCGAGGCGGTATGTGTCGCGCGCGCTGCCGTGCTCGTGCGCGTCCAGTGCGCCGCTAGCCACCGCCAGCGCCGCCTCGCCCGCGCAACACAACACTCGCGACCTCTCTAGTTTTATACTCATTATTAACCATAAATTACAAATGTATTTCTTGATTATGACTAAGTACAAATTTCAATTAGTTTTAAGTTAGTAAAAATGCAATTTTAACGGTTTAATCTTTGTTATTTTCAATAAATTATGTGTATTTCTATTCACATATTTATTGCCAAACATAAATTATGTAATATACAATCATATGGAACTATTATTAAACACAATCTCTTTTTGTTTTAAGACTAGGTAAGCGAATGGCACGGCGGGAACAAGGTAGCTTGCAGATTTAATAGTTACTGGTTCTATACTAAGAGACACTTTTGTATAGAAATCTATAATATAAAATATATAATAATCTATCTTCTTAATAGAAGAGACTAAACTTCTTTTTATTAAAGGAGTCCCTTTAATAAAAAGAAAAGAAAGTAGTCACTTTTATTATTCAATGAGCAGCATACATAAAATAAAAATATATACTAACGTCGTTTAATTTCCGACTGCGCCTCCTCGAGTTGTGCTTTCAATGAAGCGACATCCGCTTCTAAGACAGTATTGTGTTGCAACAAGTCCTGCAATTCACACTCCGCATTCAGTCTCTCAGTCTCCGTGTGCTCTAACCGGGCACATATCATCTACGTTAGTACACACATAGGAAATATAAAAATATACTTAACGTAAGAGCATTCATGCGAACAATGACCCATAGGAGATCAGGTCAGGTCAGGAGTAACCCAGCGCATGCAGCGTATCGAAGATGCAGAACCAAGCCGTAGACGCGGAGAGAATAGAAATAATACATGCCATTAGAATATAGCAATATGCCAAATAATAAACAGATTTTTCTATAGAAAGCACCAATGATAAAGTATCCTTAAGAAACAGATATTTAAGTAGCCAATGAAAACTAAAAACAGAAAAATTTTAAATATCTTAAGCGTATACTAAAAAGTTGTTTTCAAATATCATTTAAGCAACACTTATCGTAGAATTTTACTGCAGTGACAATTTTTAATACATATTGTTATCTCCTTCATTCCCTTTGACAATACTGAGACAGCAATACTGTGTAAGAGCAATTGTACGGTTTCATTATCTTATATGTAATTACATTTTACACAACACATAAAACATCACAGAAACTAACGTTTTCTCATTAAAAACAAACACCATTGTAAACGAACACAAGACATCCACCACCAGTGTTAGTCTGACCTGATTATCTTTTAATTTATCAGACAAAACGGATTCCATTTCATCTTTTTCCTTAATTTTTAATTGTTTTATTTCATCTAATTTTTCTCGAAAATCATCTCTTTCCTTCATCACTAGATCTAAAGTGATTTCTTTGTTGCATAATATTTTAAATTGATAATTCACTTTTTCTGTTAATTCTTCTAGTTTCGTAGTTTTATCATCTATTATAGAATTCAATTCGTCTATTTTACCATTCAAGTTATTCTCCATTTCAGCTTTTTCGCTTCTTATGATATTAATACTACTGTTTAATTTATTTATTGTTTCTTTAATTTCCCTCCTATTGTTTTCTAAAACCTATCAAATATAAAGATACATTACAAAGAAAATGTCTCCGTTCTACAAAATGGTAATTTACAAACTATTCTTACCTCCTTTTCAACATACAGTTCATTAATAATTTTGTTCTTTTCTATTTCGATATCTCCTTTATCCGTAGATAGTTTAGAAATTTCTTTTTCAAGTCTTTGCAATTCGTTATTTTTAGTAGATAATTCAAATTCATGTTGAACTTTCATGTTTTCGAAGTCTTCCTTCAAAATTATTAATTCATTGTTCCCTATTTCTAACTCTGCGTTCGTTTCTTTCAATTCGTCTTCAAGACGTGACAGTTGATCTGATAATTTTGTTACTTCTGTATTAAGAGCCAATATTTGCTCATCTTTGCTTGCTAATAATTCTTTAAAATTATTAAATACGTCATCTGTTACACCTAACTCTTTGTTGAGTTTTTTAATTAACTCTGTAATATTTTCATCTTTACTAGATAGCATTGCTTCTAATTCAGATACCTTGTGTGATAGTTTTTCACTTTCAGCTGTCTGTATTTGACAGAATTTATTCTTTTCTTCGAGCAATTTCTTTAATTTTTCGATCTCAATTTTATTTACATATTCAATTTCCTTTATTTCATTCTCGAGACTTGAGATGTTTATTTCTTTCTCTTCCAGAACTTTTTCAATTTTGATTTTTATTTCTGTAATGTCCTTCAGCTCTGACTCCAGTAGATCGGCGCACATTTCAGCGGAATTCTTACTTTCTACTAGTTCGTCTACTTCTTTCTCTAGACGAAGGATTTCTGCGCTTTGTTTTCGATAACTTTCATCATAATCCATTTTAATATTTTCACATTCATTATTAATATTCTGAAGTGTTAAAACGACATTTTTTTAAATATTTACACAACTATTTACATCGACGTATTACTGTATAAGATGTTTTAGAAATAATTAGTATCTGTGATTGTGATTTATTTTAAAGTTTTTCGATAAACAAAATTAAAAATTGCAAAGCAATAAAAGTGCACTGTGCCTGTGTTATATCCAAAAATATGAAGTAAATTAGTAAAAGTTAGCTACTACATTTTTGTTAATAACATATATGCAAAGTTTAGTTTGTTACTACTACCTAAGAATATACCCATGCAGACTACTAAATAACAACAAAATAAATTCCTAACCTCTTTCTCCTGTTGGTATTTTTGTTTTAACTCGACGACCTCTTGAACAGCTGCTTCTTTTTCTTCTAATATTCGCTTAACATCTGCTCCACTTTCCACTTTCACAACACTAAGTTCTTCCTTTGTTTTAGTTAGTTCTGCTTCTTTCTCTTCTATCTCCTTCTGTACTCTTTCTAAACGTTCACTAACTTCCTTCAATTCATTCGTAACTAATATGTCTTTCTCCTTTTGTTCAGTCATGGCTGTTTTATGTTCGATCTCTAATGTTTCCATTGACGCCTTCAAAGTTTCTAATTCCACTTCTTTTTGTCTGGAATTTTCTAATTCAGACCGAAGATTAGTTATTTCATTTTTATATGCTTCTATTTCTTCACTCGACGATGCGCTTTGTTGAAGAAGTTCCACATCTCTGGACAAATTACATAAACAAATTAAACCTTCATTTTCAATACACTTTATAAGTACACTAACAGATGTACATTCAAATACCAATGTATATTTATCTAAATGATTTTTAATTATACAAATGCGTGTAAACCGTTATTATAAAATAGGTATTTTCTTTGACTTAATTTCCATTAAGTAATAGAAGTCTCAAAAGTGGACAGAGAAATAGCAATAATGGCAACATTTATAATGGAAAATAGAATAGAAGTTACTTCATTCTGTCGTTCAGTTGTTGCTGCAGCATCATCTTGGAGCTCTCTTGCTGCGCGGCGGCCGCGCGCAGGCTGGACGATAACTTGTCTACTTCTGCTTTCTGAAAACATCACAAATATTATAGAATCATTCGCGTTTTACTTTGATTAAATATGAAAAACTAGCTTTCGACCGAGACTTCCTCCGCTTTGAATTTAAAAAATATAAAAGTGAGTAGCCTGTTTGTTCTTCCAGACTCTTCTGTAAGTCTATACAGCCGTTTAGGCTACAAAATCTATCAAACATCCATCCATCTAAACTTTCGCATTTATAACATTAGTAAGAAGTAAGATATAGAAGAATAAATATGTGTAAGGTAACTTTTAACGACACAATAGACATTGTGGTGAACATACGAAGTATGGTGAATTCGAAATCATTGTCCCTTTGCTAGCCATAACATATTTAAACAAAGTTTCATACCTGTCTGATTAATGTAATATGCTCTTCTCGTAGTTGAGTGTAGGCGCCTTTTAATTTTTGGAATTTTTCATCTATCACTTTAGCTTTATCTTCAGTTTGCACTAATTTCTCTGTAATAAAAAAAAAATGAGTTTAATATCAAAATTCAATAATAAAAAATGTTAGCGAAAATTAATTAAAAACGGCTCAACTCACGCTTTTATCTTCCGGTGACGGAAAAAATTTTTTAACAACAATAGCGACACTTCAACATTTTTGAACCCGTCGACAACTCCGTCGCCGAAGCACGAAGCGGCCACAACGCTCTTAGCGCCCCCCGCCCCCTCGAGCCGCGCCCTCCGCGCCCCCCGCCCTGACCCGCAGTGCGAGGCGCGACGTGACCGCGAACAAAAGTTAAATAATACTCGCCCTGAAGAAGGATCCCCGAAGGGTCCGAAACTAGTCGGTGCCGTCACCGGAAGATAAAAGCGTGAGTTGAGCCGTTTTTAATTAATTTTCGCTTATAGTAATGTCTCACGATAGTTTAAACAATTTAATAAAAAATGTAGGCTTAAAATTCACTTACGTTTGATTTCTGGTGTCTCCGCGGACAAAACTTCCGCTCTTTGTTTCTCCTCTTCCAATTCCGACTGCAATAATAAATAATTGTTAACTATCATACAAACACTTGTTGTCTCCATCTTTTAATAGACAATACGAGGACGAACGGAGGACAATATATGTCAACATTATACATATAGTCAAACAAAAATATCTGGACTGGGAAGAGACCCGCTGTTGTGGTAATTACTAATAGACATAACAATTAAAATAAAATGTGACGTGCTACAATACAAAAAGAATCTGGCGACACTTTTGAGTTGACAAGAGATAAATTGGCCATTTAGTTTGGTTTATTCACACTGGGTCAGAGAAATAAGCCGGCCTATACCTTAGTTGCTTGCAGCTGCGACTCGAGCCTTGTGCAATGTTCTCGCATTGAGCCCAGCATCGTGTTCCGCTCCTGTACCAACTGCGATACTTCACTCCTATAAAATAATAAATTTATACTTATACTAGTTTTCGCCTGCGACTCCGTCTGCGTGTTATTTAAAAATTTAAGTAGCGTATGTGTTCTTCCAGACTATACAGTACATCCATGCTAAATTTTATAGATCCGTTCAGACGTTTACAAACTCTAACAAACATCCATCCATCTAAACTTTCAAATTTATAATATTAGTAAGAAGTAAGATTATGAAAAGGAAAGCTTCGTATTTTTGTATGTATTGAAATAACTCAAAAACTACTGGGCTGTTTTCAAAAATTCTTTTTCCAAAAAAATAGCTACATTATCACAAAGTAACATGTGATATTTATTATAATTTTGCTAAGCGCAGAAGACGCCAGCAACAGCTAGTAATACAAGGTAATTCCAAAAAAGGGACAAAGGAAATTGTGCTTTAAAATCAAGGAAATAAGTACCTCATTCGCTTAAGCTCATTCTGCAGATGGTCTATAAGTCTGTCTCGCTCTACTATAGGGTCGGGCTGCGGCGACGGCGTGGTTCTTGTATCAAAAGACTCGATGTGCTCCTGCGAAACCTTACACAAAAGATATAAAACAGGACATTAAAAACCAAGAAACATGTTTTTTTTTAGTGTGAAAATAATGAAGAATAGTAAGTTACCTGGCTGACTGTATCAGAAGTGTCTATCAGAGAGGCGACAGAGTCGACTTCATCAGGCGGTGGTTCAGGAATCGATACTACTGGAGCCACGTAAGTTCCAAAATCACTCTGTCACAAAAAATATCCATATTTTAATGGCAAATTTAAAAAGAAAGTATAAAACAAGACGAAATTAAACTATACTAATATTAAACTGAGGAAACATTTGTATGTTTGTTACAAATAAACTCAAAAACTACTGGATCTATTTTAAAAAATTATTCATCAAAATAATGCTTTGATATCTCTAAGTATCATAACCTATTTTAGATATTATAAAAAAATGAAAACAACGTACAAATCCACAAAAAGTCACTATTATACCTACAGAGTGAAAAAAATAGAAGATTCACCTGTAAGAGGAAATTGGGTGGGTTGGAAGGCAAGACTGGCAGCGTGAGAAGATTCCTGTAGTACTGTAGGCTGCTCGCGTGCTTGTAGAACGAGCTTAACTTCTTGAACTGCTGACGGAACCTGTGACAAAATTAACAATATACTTTAGTTAAGAAAACAAAGTTTTAAAAAGTATTAAAACATGCAGATTTGCGTGTTTGTCTGTGTGATTGGGTCACCTCTCCCTGTGTCCTACGAGCGTGTCAGCGGGCAAGGCGGCGTGCAGACGGAACAGCAGGCGCACGTTGCAGTCGTAGATGTGCGAGGAGTCCTGCGCGCAGGGTATCAGCGCTGCTAAACGGCACTGACCACTCGCCGTCATTGAATTTGCACGCGCGTTGCCCAAACTCTCGAATACTAAAACATTATTGTATGGATTAATTTCGCTCATGTCATGTATGTATTATTCCATACTCTCCTTTACCAAATTCCGTTCAGTAGACTACAAAATGTAAGAAACAATCGTCCATCTAAACATTCGCATTTAAAATATTAGCAATACATTGTGCTGAAAACTTTAAAAGCAATATAAAACAGATATATAGATACACGAATAAGATTACTAACCTGCCGCTTGAAGGTTTAAAATATCATCCATGTAATCAAATAACTCGACACACAGTTGAAAACTGGAAGTAAAGAGTGAAAGGAAATATTAAAAACTATTTTCTCGTGTACATGAGGCGATACTTCAAACACAAACATTTTGCTAACACATAACGACTAGAAAGTATAAGAAATGTGTGAATCTCACTAGTTATTGACATCGTTCTCCGCGATAGCGTCCAGTTCGTCTGCGGTGAGCTGCATATTGCCGGGGAACCGCGGATTGCGCTGGTGGAACTTGAGCTTGCTGACCAACAGCGCGCAGTACAAATGCACCAGCCGGCCATAGCCCTCGCGCAAGTGAACCTAACACACACATTATTTACATAACAAAACGAAACAATGTGCGAATGTTGTAATCTATTACATAGACTCAGTCGAATTCGTCAGATAAACAGTGAAGTAATAAGTACATAACTAGTAATGATCCAAAACAAGCATTGATATTTAGTAGAAGGCCGAAAAGTAAGGATGGGGTGTGTGAAAGAGCCAACTCTCCTCAAGGGCAGGTTGATGATATGGCTTAACATTGAACTTAACTTAACGGCAAACAACCGGTGACAACACCGAGATGATCAACGAAGCCCATGGACAATCGTAATACCAGAGGAATTACAGATGCGTTGCCGAGTTTTGAGTAAATGGCAGGCTTATTTCTTAATGGACCCTAAGTCGTATTGGTTTATTTGCTCGCTTGCTTGTATTGGTTTGAAAAAACCGCCGAGGACAGGCCGTTTCACAACGTGGCTGTGCGAGACAGAAAGTTTCGCGAAAACTGCAAGGTTGTGGAATGCCAGCCATCGAGATTGTGAGGATGGTATCTGGCGGTCTGTCGTGTCGTCCGATGACGGCATGAATCGACTTTAATATTGTTTTTTTTTATATTCTTACCCATAGCTTGCCGAGGTTCTCAATCATGCCGGTGTGCCGCTGCGAGTCATCAAGACAGGCGGGGTGTCCCTCGCGCAGCAGCTTGTGCGTCACGTGGCAGAACTTCCATGCCACGATACGGTTGTCTTGTAGCGGCTGACGGATTGCCACCATCTGTGCAAACATACCTAGCATTCGACACACAGTCATGTATGTAACAGTAAATATACTAGTTTCATATACACCTACTTAAAAGGAGTAATTAATTTACTTAATCATCATCATCATTACCAGCTCACTGTACGTCCCAGCCGAGGGGCTCGGAGCCTACCCTGAGTTAGGGTGACTACGCCATAGTCAACCACGCTAGCCAAGTGCGGGTTACTAAATTATGACTAAAGATTGGCGCCTGTGACATGGCAATTAAAGTCAAAAGGATAAAACTTATCATATTTGAGTTACCCAATACGTGACGGCGCTCTGCTCTTGGAACGTCCCGATGATTGTGCTGCGAACATGTTTCTCCTTCACAGGGGTCTCGATAGCGTTGATAGCTTTCTGTATAGCTAGTGTCTGTAACGTGAAAAAAAATGCTAAAAAGTGTCATAGAAGACATGAAGATCCAATGATCCAATCCAGTAGGTTTAGCAAAATTCTACAATATTAAAAATCTGCCTAAAACATTCACAAAAGAAGCATTTTTGATAAACGCGTTTTAAACAAAATACACTGTACATGTATCAAAACATTAGAACATCTAGAAGACAATATGCTCATCGTCTTACGTTATCATAACAAAAACGGTAAAAATGTTTAGACTAGCTTTTCTATATTCCTTGTATCAAGACAAGTTTACATTAACATCAATACCAAGTGTGAAGATAAATTAGATTTATATTTGCGAACGATAAACTAACATTTTAATAGCCATAATGATGCACGTAATACATATGGAATTTTAATTATCAAGTGCATGTGCAAACTTGTAGCTCTATTACAGTAATTAATAACCATTACCGTTGGTTTCCACTGACGAAAGACCTGAACAAAAACATATTATAATCCCACTCATTCGAAAAAATATATATGAGGTTGTCTTTGTCAGAATGTCTGCTGCAAAAATTGTTTACCACCTGTTTTACTTTGGCACTCTAAAAATTGCCTTTTTTCGGATTCTTAGGTTATAGCCTTTCCACAAAAATGGCGTTTAGATAATATCTTAGTATACTATCTCAAGGTAGGATCTTTTATAAGTCCGCATTTGTTACCATAATGTAGGAACAATCGACCCAGTGAGGACACAATGAAGCCTTATTTGAACCACGGCGAGTTTCCGAGCGCACAGGGTCAAGGTAATTAACAGAAACGGCTTCGGATTATGTAATGTAGTTAGTGCTAGTACATTCTCCAATTAATGAGGACAAAGATATGAAAGAAGTGAGATTTAATGTGAAAATGTAAAGAGCTATACGAAAGAAAGGATGGATTGTAAGAAAGAAGAATGCCTAAGAAGATAATGAATTCAGATAGAACAGCTGATAAAGATGACTGTAATAGTACATACTGTGCCGACCATCTGTAGGGAAAGGTGCAGATTGTAAATGATGGTACAAATAACATGACATCTTGTGCCACTCTTTAACATCACCGTAGCATTTTTTTATCATATACACCAAATATAAAAAACTAAGACAGCATTACTTTGAGTTCAGGGATAAAAAATATTGTATGCAGTAAGAAAATAATAATGTCAGGAAATTATACACTGCATAAAAATGGAACAGAACTCGCCATTTTTTTCTACAAAAACATTGTAAAACCCTTGCAAATCATTTCCGGTGCTGAATTTAAATGTTCTGGAACAATCGCTATATCCGCTGTGTTTACAATTTAAATGTTAATACATACACAAATGTGTTTGCGCCTGCGCATTATGTACATACATAAATACTTACATACTGCGGAGGTAACGAGACAGCTGCGCATGCGCTAACTTCGCGGACGGTCGGGTTGACTATTTATGTTAATGTATTTGTTTACCAAGGAAAATACGACTTTACACGATAAAAACATCTTACAAATATTGTACTATTGAATGATTATTATGTAACATTCAATTTTTTTTTTCTGTCGGTCGTTATCGATGATTTGTCTTATTCTATGTTCAATGAATAGGTTTAGGTTTAATGTCTATGTTGACTAGTGTTTTTTGAAGGACTGTCATATCTATTCTACACTACATCCTTGTTCAATATCTAGGCAATTTGAAAATGTAGTTTCCATGTGCAAATAGGATTCCAGTTAATCCATGCGTTATATAGTTACGCAACGGAAAATGACTAGTCACAAACATCATTTTAGGTTTTAATCATAAAGTAAACGTTTATTTTACACAAATTCTGTAACTTATTAAATTAACTTGTGTTTTGATGTGTGCATTGCTATCGACGGAGGCGTCATTACTTTCAAGTGTCAAAAAACTATTCGATTACGCGTTCCATGGACAACTGAAATAAATCAAAATAAAAGTCGTCTTCACTGTTTAATATAGCGAGACAACAAGAAGTATTACAGTTTTTCGCTAGACATGATTTAACTGCAATGTATCGTTTACATTCATACTAAAAACGGAAACTCGTTTCTAATGGCATAATAAAAAAATTCAAGAGCAATAACCTCCAGAAATAAAACTTCCACTCTAACTAATTGTCGTTTACGTCTGACCATGCATAATTGTTTCCAGTTTCGTACGGCATATTTTAATTGAAAAAAAATTGACACTTGAACCATCAATTCCTCACTGGCAAGTTACCTTACCTCCGTTAGGGTCTATTTACACAGACCAGAGGTGAGCAGAACAGATTTATGTGCGATAAAAATATGTTTTGCTCTCCGCGCCGTCAATGTGAACGGACCCTTATACTTATCACACAGAATTAAGTTTTATAGTTACATTTATGGAATAGAACATGTATATCTTTTTTATCAATGTTTATTTTTCATACTATGTATAGTATCTGTGCGACTATTTACTGAGAAGTTATGAGTCATGCACAAAGCAAAGCTCTTATTAGTAAGCGAAGGCGCTTATGAATCAGAGCTGCAAGCAACTTGAGATTTATGTGAGGTTATTTTAAGCAAACTGACCGACACATCTTGTTCTTTGTGTGGTAAATGCATGACACTTTGCGATTACAAATGTACGCGATAGTCCGTAAATAAAGACAGCCCTTATTCCTTTAATGGAAACCGTTAGTGGAAATTTAGTATAATAAATCTACACAAAGCGATTCTTTAACTAACAAATTAACGTCTCTGTGTGCGGAAGTTATTGTGCAATGTCTTTCAAGAAACTGTGATTCAGTCAAGATTTGCATTTACGCGAAATTAAATTTTATATGAGCGAGATCAGCGTTGTGTTGTCCCTTTTTATATGCAGTATAATACTACAAGCGTGATAACCTCTATATTATGAAAACCCCTACACAAAAACATACTGTTATCCACGGGCGTCGCCAGGGAAAAGGGGACAGCTATTCTCCCTTCTAGACCTAGCCTGCATCAGCGGCTGGCGACGCTCATGCTGTCATCTCTTTTCATCCTAAGAGCAGAAGAGAATAACAATATGTTTTTGTGCGGTTGTTTCGGTAATGTAAACCAGAGAAGCTGTATAGAAGATGCACTCACCAGCTGATGGAAGCGTTTGTCTGTGGGGTTGGCCATAGCTGGGTGTTAGTGCGCGGAGGCGGGGTCAGCGGCATGCATTAGTTAATGTTCTGGTGCTCGGCTGCAATGAGACGTATTGTCGAACCAGATATTAGTCTTGTTATTAAACATGCAAAGAAAATGCTTCACAAGATTAGTAGTAAACTATAGTGTATCACGTTTATCTGGCCCGGTGGGAGAGGCGCTATGACGAAATGACAAAACAACTACAGTCCTACAATGGCTTTTGACACCTTAGTGACATTGACAGATGGCACTTATTAGCAATTGTAAATTACTTTTCCTTATTCCCACCGAGTCAGAAAAATGTGTCGTTCTATAATGAGCTATAAGCTAAAGACAAAACTTGTTTAGAAAGCTGTACCAAGTAATAATATTGGCATGATTAGTACACAATTTATTATTGTAATGAATGATAGGTGGTTATATCAGGTTAGAAGTACTTTTAACAACATATTGTGAAAACAATAAAAAAAATGCTTGTGAATTCCTTTGCGGGGAGTAACATTATGATTGTCATAGTATTGACATATAGAATTCATGCAAATCCCAATCCGGTAATAATAACGAAGTAACGGCCCGAGCCGAGGCTTCTGAGGGAGCCCTCGAGCCTAGTTACTCATAAAATAGGTTTAGGCTAAGCGCCATCTGCGCTGGGCCACCTCAAGCCCGGTGAATCTGTAAATGCCTCTTCAAGGCAAACAGTGACAAATCAGTCAAAAAAAAAATCATGCAAATATTTACGTACAAAAAACATTAGTTTTAGATAAGAGATTCCGAAACTATTTACGTAGACACCTTTAAAAAATCATGATAGCAAGCGGCGGTGCTAGTGAGTTATCATAATTTAACTCGCCCACCGGGTCAGATAACTTTTTCCGACTATAGTCGTGCTAATTCATACGAATATTACTGCAACAATGAAACTCGAACAATCAGTGACCGACTCCATCAGTATTGTTTTATGTCACAATCATTGTGAACGATGTTCCGGTGTTATATGATTGTGCTGAAAATAATGATTACCACTGCCCACAGAGATTTACGGGATCATATAATTATCTCTGTTTTTTCAATAAGTAAGAGAGGGATGTCAATACATTTTTCTACAGTTATTTTGGCAATGGAAACTTAAGGATGCATATTATAAAAAGAAGTTTGTTTTCAGAAAGTAAAATATAATCTCCATTAGATGTACGAACCAAAGTACAATCACTAAACAATGAGTTATTTTAGTAATTCACTAATAATGTTGACTAATTTCGTAATTTCACGGTATGACGATTTAGGATTCATATCTTCTATCTCAGTTGAACGAATGGTATATTAACTTGTTAAGTCGTGAGGCAAATGTAACATGGTACACGCAAGTGGGAGGCACCCAGTTTATAAGTAGAGATTTCATGGATGTTTAGCTTTACGTGCTGGTCGGACTAGGGTAAACATGTCAGGCTAAATAAGAGGACACCGGAAAATTAAGAAATTATGAAAATGAAATGTTGACAACAAAAACAAGAGAAATCTTAATTCACTCGTGTGTTCAATGTTAAAAAAGATGACTTTTCTAGATTGGTAACGTATCTTAGGCTCTTTCCACAAAAGGGGTTTTTTTTACGCGCGCTAAAAAATGTACAAACGGTAGCGCATTTATACGGCGAAAGTTTTTTACCACGCTTTGTTACATTTCGAACGTTGGAAAAACGAAACAAGAGTGATATTAGAGCCTTGTAAAAGAGCGCGGACGTTAAAGCTCCAAAAAGCACCAACGCTGAGAAATAAAAAAAGCGCCATTGAGAATGAAGATTTATAAATCTCGGCAGTCTCAAGAAGATTAGGTATTCATGGTC